TAAACCTGCTACCAATATGGCAGCTTAAGCTAGTTGAAAATTAAAAAAAATTAAAATAATTGAAAACAAATGGAATAGCTTTGAAATAAAAATAAAATAGCATACTTTTAGGGTGCACTTCCTGTTCTGCAGCGCATGAAACATTTCACATTAGAATAAACATATTAGGAGAACACTCTTCATAAATAAATTGAATTTATTGTTATTTAAATATTTCATTTGTTACTTCCCATTTCATGTCATCAAAACAGTTTCTCGGCCCACAGTGGAATGAAATAAAACGCGTTGGAGGGCCAATGATTGTGCAACAAATGTGCAGCACGAACGCAAATGTTGGGAAGGGTCATATTGACTCGCATGGAGGGCCCGTGGAAATGGGGTATAAGGGGAATGGCGGGTCAAAGAAGAGCCTCGCCTGACTTTACCTTTCACGGCGTGTGTGACGTTTAACTTTTGGCTGCGTGGGCATGGGCGTGGCTAGCCGTGCGAGTGAGTCAGATAATGCCTTTTGGCAATTTTTCGCATTTGCCGCCATGTCACAGCCGCCATCCCAATTCTCGTTATAGGCGCTCCTGTTTTTGTTGATCATTTTGTTACTGTTGCTGCTACTGCTGTTGTTGTTGTGTTTGTTGTTGTTGTTCAAGTTGTAGTTGCCTGCGGACCAACAGCCGTTGACAACGCACGCTAATTGCCTTGTACGAAACAATTTCTGTAGCTCTGCCTGCCTGTCTGCCTTTGGGTTCTCTTGCTGTATGGCTTCGAGGCTGCCAGTGGCGACTTAAAGTTTCAATAGAATCAATTTTGCATAGGCCTTTTCTCTCATACTGTATCCGCCTGAGAGGTTTTTGTTAATTGAAGCGACTTGCAAGTTGCTTGCAGCTAAATGATTTGAATAAATGTTTGGGCAGAAACACAATTGAATGTGTCCAAATGAAAGGGAAAGTTCAAAATTGTATAAAAGTACAAATTGTCTTCTTTTAATATTCAATATGAACAAGTGATGACTTAAATCATTCAAAATATTTTCAAAGACTTCAAAGTTTAATTCGATTAGTGTGCTTTGTACAATTGAAAAATTTGATATTTATCTTATTTCTAAATATTTGTGCATCTAATTGTTCAAATGGCCAGAAATACTTGTAACTGTGTAAGTACGTGAAGTACGTCGCCAACAAAAGCTGCCCTTCAGAGATAACAAGTTCATTACTAATACTTGGAATATGGTTCGCTCGTCTAGACGATTAATGATAAGCAAGTCTTTTTAACTAAGTATGGTTGGCATGCGAAAATATACTAAGAGTATAGTGGTTGATGTTCATTAATATCAATTGCTTGCAATCATTTAAAGGACTTATCATATAATTTAATGTTTACTCGGAAAGTTTTTCAGAAAGTAAAATATATGTAAATTGTTTGTAAGCCTTTAAATAAAAAATCAATATAAAATTTTAATCAAATATTTCTTTTAATTGAACTATAGCTACGTATAGTATAGCTGTGCTTATCTACTTATTTAATAATATAATAAATTTAATTGCTATTATTATTAATATCGTCATACAAGTATAACGAAAATACATCCTTTATTAAAATATTGAAAGTTTTGCAATTGTTTAAAATATGATTTTGCTAATTTTTGGAATAAAATGAACTAAAAATTGTATTACCTTTTACTTTCCTTCATTTCAAAATAAGTATAATCCACAAAATAGTTTTGTGCTATGATAACAGAACTAGTACGAGTACATACGAATAAAGTACCCATGACATTGTACCCCCTTTCCTGTTAGCCTGAAATTCTGTCTACTATGCGAATGCCTGACTGGGTATTAACTCATTTTTATGGCCTCATTTCACATGCGGCTGCGCCTTTAAGCAATAAATGAGTCAGCGTCTAACCAATACATCGCGTTGCATAAAGCGACGGACAGACAGTTGGGACGGCAATGAGGCACTTGAGTATCAGATGATGTTGTCCCCAAAACCTAACATTAAATATGCATGCGAGACGTCGGGCGCATTGCAGAGTTGTAAGTGCGGCTTCGGCTCTCTCCATCTCTGTCTCTTATATCGGTTGTCTTGTCTGTAGGTTGCCTTTGTTGCCGCGATGTTTGCATAATGTGTTGAAACCAGACACATTCTGCTTAATTAGTCAATTTAATAGTTTTCGCTGCTTATGCCTCGCGATGAGTATGCAGAGCAGCCTTAAGTTAGCGACACGCAGGCGGGACCAAACCGAGAACTAGGAATGAAAAGGGATGAGGTTTATGGGTGCGTTTGCTGTAACCCACACGGAATTCTAATTAAGCGACAAATATAAAACCACACGCTATTATTTATTGTTTTGCCAGAGGCCATGCACACACACACACACCGAGTGGGGGCTACCGCATGCAAAGAAATTTCTAATTAAGCTGCAATGCAATAACAACAGCAGCAGTAACAACAAAAAATTAAAGAAAACGAAATTGTGTTTTTCTAATTAAAATAAAATATGTACAACAAAAGTTAAAGCAACACAACGCCGCCCTATTTGCAAAAAAAGTAAGTTTAAGAAAAAGTAAACAAGCAGCAGGAATCAAACAGCAACAAAATCATAAATTAAAAAGTCTAAAGAGATGGACATGTGACGTGATTGCTGGAGCAGAAAAATTTTTAAATAAAAAAAATTAATTTGGAACAAAGAAAAAAACTTGTTGTTTTTTTTTGGATACGCAATTTAAATGATTGGTTTTAAATTATAAAAAGGCGGTCTTGAATTAATAAATTAAACTTATAATAAGTATATACAAATAGTTAATTATTTAAAAAAAAAAACTCTAGTAAAATTATTGGCAATGTAAATTAAATGTAATATTAAATTATAGAAAGGCGGTCTTGAATTAATAAATTAAACTTATAATAAGTATATACAAATAGTTAATTATTTAAAAAAAAACTCTAGTAAAATTATTGGCAATGTAAATATAAATAGAAACATACATTTTATAATTACATTATTTATAAAAATTAATAAGCAAGAGTTCTTGGAAATAAATTTCCAATACACATGGGAAATAAAAAATTCCTTTCACGTTAATACTTTCAATAGATAACTTAATTAAACTTGTTCGCTGTTATTACTCACAAGATTTACAACCTGGTATTGGCTACAAAACGTAAATGAATATTTATCACGCACCCATCTCTAGAGACACACAACAAGAGGTAAAGTAAAAGCAACAAATCATGGCATACTTTTTGGGGCCAGCATTAATATGGCTGCCTACAACGTAGCAGGTGGGCGGGTCACAAAACTTAAGTCAATTGACAAGGCGCAAAGTTCAAAGAGAGGGGCGTGGCCGCTACATATATACACATACACACACACACACAGACACAAACAATATGAGTCCGGAAAGTGGTCAGAAACTTTCAAAATTAATTTTCAACTTTATTTTGGACAACAACAAAACCGAAAACCAAATATTTCTAAGAGTAAAATACTCGTACATTTAAAAAACGACGAAGCCAACATCAACATATTTATGTATATATTTTATAATGAACAAGTCAGCAATCAAAAACATTCATAAGCTCGCCATGGCGACAATGTGTTCTTCTGGCAGCAACTACAACGAAAATATCAATTAAAATGGCAGCTTGACTTGAAAAACCCGTCTAAGCAGTTCTTGCCCATGTTTTTTTGTTGTTCTTGTTGTTAGTGCCACCACACGAAAAGAAACTTTGGTGGTTGCCATCCCATAGAGAAGAGTTTGACGCAAAACTTTTTCAAGGCGCAGACATGCCTCAATACACACACTTGCACGCACACATATGTATAAATATATACTTTGTGTGTGGGTTTAAAGTTTCTGCTGTTGCAGACAGTTTTGATAGTTTGCTTCAAAGTTGGATTGCTGCTGATGTTGAAGTATGTTGGCGCATAACATGAAGAAGATGACTATCACCAATATAGAATGCCAACAGCAACATACAGCGTATTACAGTTAATTACTCATACGCACAGTATGCCCACAACAGCAGCAACAACAAAAGCAGCAATTACTTACGCTCGAAATTAATTTCCTTTACGTCAAATAGCCAGTCAAAGGCCCAGAGGCAGCTGTGAGGTCGTTTGGTAGATTCGATACATCCAAGACACAATGTACACGAACGTAATAACAATATTGACAATAATAGCAATAATATAAATACATTACCAAAAAATTAATTCAGTTGCTTACCACATTATTTAATGTTTAAACTCGAGGTAAGCAACCGTGTCATTGTCGTGCTAAGCGATTGATATCTAGATGATTCGTAAGCTGCAAAATTCGTTATCCTTGAACATGGGCGAATTGAAGAGAACTTTGTGTCCACTTAAGCTTTTTAATACCTTAATAAATCAACAAACTATGTTCAAATGCAACTTGGACTTCAACTCCACCCCTTCGACTCGGATTAAATGAAGTTTCGCATTCACAAAATTTTGGTGAAATTTCTCTAAATGCAGAAAAATATCGTGATTTCCATACAAATATTTTTCATTTTTGTTCTACCATCCCGTTCAAATATACTCGTATGTAATCTGTATTCAGCCAAAGTGCCAAGTAGGCCAAAGTCCAATTGGATTCAATTTCAATTTTGTTTAGCCTGCTCGACAATCGATGTTAAAACAATGGAAAGTTGAGCTTAAATTATTGTGCATTCCAATCACCATTATATACACACAGATATGTACACACACATACATACAATACACTGAATAAATAAAAGAAACAAAGCCGACTGGGATATTGCAGTAGACATCAGCCCTGGCCGTCAATACAAGACATGGTAACGAAATGCATTTCTGCCAGCTTATGCAAAGGGATTCGAAGCAGGCGGATACACATGTATATCGTATATGTGCATAGATTACGGTTAGGTATTTATGTAAGAAATCCCATTATATTTTACGACACTTGGACAGTGGCCACGAATCGAATACTTGGCTCGTATATAATATAACTAAAAGGTTCTATGAATGTATTACATTTGATTTATTCAATTGTTTTCCTTTCTTTTTCAAGCTTTGCAATTTTATGTTAACATGTTTTCCATTTTTATTAGATTTTTATGCAATAGGTTACTTGCACGTCATTCTGGGGATTTCAGTCAAAATATTCATACAGTGCGCAATCAATATTGCTTGACTCCGCGATGGATATATTTTGCCCAAGAATTCCAATAGGTCAGGCGATTTGAGCACAACATTTCGATAGCGATCGAAAGTTATGGACCCACCGCCTTCGCTATACTTATCAAACTTCTTCAGCAAAATTTCCACCATATCCTTCAAATAAATCTCTTTGTTGATAAAAATGTTAAAATAAAGCGCTCCTTTACTTACCGAACGCATTGCGGTCAGTTCATCTTCTTCGCCCTCGGTGAAGAAATTTTCAACAGCAGCTGCCAAGACTGCACCGCTCAAGATTCCTTCACTGCGGGTGTCGTACACCTGAAAAAAGAAAACAGTAATAGCAATAGCTCAGCCATTTAAAACAAATAACCATACCTTAAAGGCAAACGCCAATCGCTCTTCCAAATCGTGACCGAAGATAATTGTCAGATATTTCACAAAAGCCGTCGGTTTTATGAATTGCTTTCCCTCGCCAACCAAATATGCCACACGATGAACGATTCGCATGTCATAGTTCTCGGAGAACAACAAAAAGAAGCTGATGAACTGAAGTCGGGTCATATAACGCGCCCTCGCACCATTCTGTCGCACAAATTTATAATAGACTATCAAAATACTTGACAACTCCAGATGGCTAAATTTTGTAATACTCTCCAGCTCATTTATGGTGGCATTATAGAGCGTTGCGAAACGCGCATTAGCACGCGCACTCATAAACTTATCAATTCCCATTCTAAATTACTCACTTTCTTCTAAAATGCAAATTTAAAATCGCCAAATTGCAATTAAAATACTATATAAAATAAATAAACGCAAAAATTGAAATATTTCGATAAAATAATTAATTATAAAATTTAACAAAACTGACAATAATTGAAAAGACAACCAAACTACATTTTTGAATTTACATTAAAGAGCTTTTAGCTTAAACTTTTCAGTCTAAATCAGAACCACCAATGAACAAGTAGTTCAAAGTTTTAGCAAGTAGTCATATATATATACTACATACATTAGCAAAGTTTATGCCCCGAAAATTCCCTATGGAATTAATTTTTGGATATGGTGACCAAATTCTCAGTAAAATGGTATTAGCTCACTATCTAGCAGTTCTGTATACTTTTATGCGTTTATTTTCTTGCCAAAAATCATATTTCGGAAGTGCCTTTTAAGCTAAAGGCAGCTAGTAGCAGGTCTGCCTGGGTTTTTTTTATATCCGTCCAATATTTATGGTAGCCATCAGGGCCGTCAGTTTTATTTTCGTCAATAAAAATAACGTCCTCCAGTTCTTAAGTTAATTAATATAGTACGTAGCCATATGTGATACTTAAACATACAAATATACAAAAAAAAAAAAGAAAAAAAAATTGGATATTGAATTCATTTAACATGAAGAAAAGAGTGATTAATTCCAGCAAAAAAGAAATCAATTTATGTATAAATCATATGAAGGCACTTTATTGAAATATTAAAAGTAATATAAAAAGGTGATTTACAATTAAAATATGGAAAAATTAATAAATGGATAAATATTGAAACAAAAATATTTCAGTTGTTATTCTAAGAATTCAATTAAATGGCACAAATATCTACAAAAAGGTATGTTATCTACCACGATGAATAGTAGGAGATATGTTGATATATCTAGAGTCGGACAAAAACTAATCCCAGCTGGGCGTTCTTTGAAAATTCAGTCTAGTCAGATTTGCAACAAAGCTTAATAACACTTGCGATTTCTGGTAATTTAATAGGCTAGGTATAACTGAATCTATCAGCGAGTTTCCTACAGCCTACATGGAAAATGGCTGGCCAGGATTTTCGAAACGTCAATGGAACAAAGCAAAAGCGCAAAGCGCTCGACAGCTGTGTCACATTTCATTTGCCGTGGTCGTGGACGTCGACATTGTTGTTGTAGCTGTTGCCATTCTGTTCAACGTGATTTACTTCAAGCAAATTGTGTGCAGCAGCTGTAGCAACAATAACAACAACACCAGCAGGGGCAGCAACAACCGTGAGCGAAACAGCAACAGTTAAATGAATCAAATCCATTTCAAGCTATTCATCAAATGTCAGCGCGTACGTTTCGCCAACCGAGCCGCAAGCGAGCGAGTAAGCCACAGCAACAACAACAACAGTGCCACCACTACCATCAGCAGCAACAACAACAACAGGAGACGTGCACAACCTAAGCCAAAATGGTGGCTCTATGTAGATTTAGCATTGGTCGCCACTCTCCTTTGCTTTTCTCGGTCCGCTGTAGGGCGCTGTGGAGCAAACTCGTTTTATAATTGAATTGATCCTATTACGTAGATGAAAACGTTTTTGCATTGCGTTCTATTTCGTAGCACACAGCCGCAGCCACAGTTACAACAACAACAAGTACAATAATAACTAGAGCAATGGCGTTAGCAACATGGCGTGGAAAATGGCGGCCAATGTCTAGCACTACAACTTCCGGCCATGACGAAGTTAATGCCATTTGAAGGAGCAGGGCAGCCCAACAACAAAAAATACAGCAACAACATAAACAGCACATAAAACGCAAGTTGTGTGGCAAATGAGGAGAACAAAACAAAAAAAAAAACAAAGTGCTGGTGGTGGTGAAAAAACAGAGTGACCGAAATGATTGTAAACAGTATTTGCCACACAAAATACAAAAAATAAAATATCAAAGATCAGAGACATAATACGGAATTAAATAGTGCTCTAAAATAAAGAAAAAAGTAAAAAGATAGTTGCAGCAAACATAAAAGGCAGAGAATTAAAAAAAAAAAAATTAAGGCGAGCCATGTATTTTTCAAAGCACATCAATAATTTTAATAAGCACTTGAATGATTATCAAAAATGATTAGAGAACAGCACACAAGATCTGTTTAAATTGTAATTGCAAAACTCTATCTGCAATTATAACGGGACTTTCATTTGTTAAATATTTGTAATACATTTTTGTAAAATAAAGTCCTGCTTGTCAGTAAACGGAGTAATACAAGTATATATGTTTCTCTGCTTTTGGCACATTTTTCTCTCATTTTTTTAAACGCAACATATCGCACATTTATCAAATGCATTAGAATGGTCACCCTGATAGGAGTGATAAGGTTATCCTTTTTGTTTTGGCTGCCGCTGCCACTGCTGCTGATGCTACTGTCCATGGAAGGGAAACGCACGCTACATACAGTTTGAACAAAATAAATTGAATTTAGCGCTTATAGTATGTCCTGACATTCGCTTTTAATTTCATTCGGTCTTAATCCAAGCAGCAAGCACCGAAACAAGCAAACAAATAGTTGCCCAGGCCAACTCAAAGTGAGCAGAAGGCAGCAGAGTCATGCCAACAATCCAAGCGCTGCATTTAATTTGCTGTTGTTGGTGCAGCTGCTGGCTCGTATGTTGGATTGCTCCATGTACACACAATCGCGTATCATTGCATAACGCTCCCATCCCTCACACAAATACACACACACACCCACACACATTTGACTTGGGGCGCTATCTGCGTGTTTGCTGCAAGTTTATTCGCATTTGAAATCCCTTGCAGCTTAATTGCGCAGCTGCTGCGAGTGGAAAATTTCGTTAGCGTTTTCAGTTTATGATTTCTAATTGGAATTAAATGTTAAATATGCAGCTATAGCTGCAAAAAAAAAACTTTTAAATTAAAATGAATGAGGTGCATGTAGATTGGCAATTATCAACTGCAAGTGGGGGAATAACACGTAATATCATTAGAGTTCATTGAGGACATTGCACTGTCCATCTGCAGGCTTTGAAATTTGCAAGGATTCTAGTATTCATTGAATAATCAAACAGCAACACGTTTCCTGCCAAAGGATATGGTACAGAGGAGGCAAGAGGAGAAGACTCGTTCTTATTTTTAATCCATTGGTATGATCCTTTTTAGTTCTTCATGGCATATTCGAAAGAAAACTCGGCCTGCAGAAAACTAGGATGTTAGGATGTTGTGTATCGGGTTGTGGAAAACACATTAATTAAAACAAACCAATTCAAGGACAGACTAACCGATATAAGCCATACTTTATTGAAATGCAAATGTAAAACAAAACCACAACAAATTTTTAATTAAAATTTGACTTGGAAAAATACAAAACCTGAAAGTGATTTATATATTTTGAATTGATCGGTACAATTGGCTTAAAAAATATTAATATAAAATACTTTTCACGCCACTCTCTCCCAATTTACCGAAGAATTGTTCACAAAATAATGAATAAACATCTTACAACAGCAATACCATCAACATCAAATAAAATGAGATTCAATTAAATGAACAATTTAAGATCAGAAATAATTACAAATCAATTTTGTGTTACTAAGAAGGAAATAAAGCGATATAAATACTTAAGAAAATATTGGTTTATTTATATATTTTCAATTTATATTTAAATAAATAATAGATTTGGGCTCATGAGTTTTAACAGCGTGTTTTTTTATTTTTACCCATATCTGCCAACATATTTATATTCTTGTTTACTTGCATTTATGAATTTGCTACAACCTTCAATGAAAGCACCTTTTATCTGAACAAACTGTTTCCTGGGTCGCATTTCCAGTTTTTTTATACTCTTTATAATATGTATTACTGCATAATGGAAGCATGTACGAGCATGTGATATTGAATCTGACTTCTCCTCACAATTTCCGTTTTTTTTGCTTTAGCAACTCCCAATCCATCTCACGCCTCACAGACATCAATTTCTATTTGCGATACTCTGTATACGCGTACAACTGATTGTGCACACAATTGCGAAGCTCACATGCAAGTTAACCTAGTTGTCGGGACGATTTATTTCATAGAACGTCATGCCATTTCAGCAGCAACATTTATTAAAACACCAACAACAACAATAACAATAACAGCAACGACTAGAACATCATGCCACAAACAAAGCACAAATAATAGCGTTGATATTTGATATATAAAATGCAAAGCAATTTATTGCACCGCACAGACACCCACACGCACACACACGCACGCTCACATATTGTATATATGCGTCTATATAATCGTACTGCTGATATACTATACTTGTAGTACGCATTGAGTCGGATTTACCTGTGTTTAAGTTGGCAGTAGCATTAAATTAGACACAGCAGCTGCCTGCTGACTGCTGACATGCGGGTCAGCTGAGTAATTTTTATGGATCTACAGATAGTAAGTAAGGGTGCGGGGTGGGGTGGTGCTGCGGGAAACATGTGTCTTAGATAATTTATGCGACTAACACGTGCTGACACACTAACACCTCAAGCTACGCAGTCGCTTGCTGCACTCTCCTCAAAGCCTCCCACAATGCAACTGCACGTACCAGTATTTTTGCCATGCCATGCGAGGGTTCCTTAAAACAAAGCTTAGCTTGATATAAAAAATAAAATAAATTCAAAACGTTATTTGTCTTTCTTTGAAAAGACAGAATCAATTCAATTATTTGGACGTTCAATGCGTTATAGTACTTACACGATTTCGCTAGTAAGAGTGTGTGTTCAATGTATAAAGAGGAATTGTTGCGCAATATATATCAGGATATAGACTTATAGATTCATTAAAATATTCGACATAATAAATATAATGATTTATATTTGTGCATATCGTTTATGAATAAAATCCTTATCCCAATTAATTCTAAATTTAATAAACTCTGCTAGAGCTCTGCCATTATATTATACCAACATGTTGGATGTTTTATCTTATTACATATTCAAGGACTCATGTCGCCACTCTCGCAACTTTCGATGCCTGCATAATAGTTCAAGTTTTGCTGCATACAAATGAGCCTTGTGCCCATG